CTGTAGTCCTCCTTTGAAGAAACAAGACATGTCTCGTCTTCTGCAAAGGCTGGACGTAAACACTGGGTGCGGGCCGTATGTCCCTCGTGTGGCATTGCACAAAAGTTTGGTAATGTCTTTTTGTGATTATTAACAAACACATTTTTTTAAAGAGTTATTGATATGGCAAGGCAATAAATGTAAAATATTAGGGTTGTAGTCCATGTCATTTTCTATTAGACGAAATTTGTATTAGATTTGTCCTTTATTCTATTAATGGTTTGGAAAGTGATGAGTAAATTAGCAGTGATTCAAAAGTGACGTCGTTTACATATATTAGCCACTCATATTTCAACAGATACATTTTGCAGGGTTAATGTTACCAAGAATGACGCACAGGAAATGGACAGAGACATCTTATAGAGCATAAGAAATAGATAAATAAGCATTACAGGTACAGTTGTTCCGCCCTTATATTTACCGCGAAATAACGAAAATATCCACAGCATAACACCACACAGACTAAGTCCACAACACCCACACACAACCAGTTAATGTTGCAATTTCTGTAAGCTGGCAGAAAGTGCTACGAAAGGGAGGTCTTGGAAATAAATAGAAGGTAGGAAAGTTAGGTTTGGATTTTGGGTTCGAATGATATCCTGGGTTTGGGAATTCATCTCTGGAGGGGGTGGTGCCTCGGTAACATATTCCTTTTGCAGTGCTAGTTCCTTTGAGTTGGATGCACTTCTTTTCTTCTTTCCAGTAGTGATAAATGTTAGGTAATTTTTCAGAATACCTTCGCATAACTGATTGCAACAGTTTTGGGGTTGATGGATTCTTCTCTCTCACTATTATCCAGATAAATCAGAATTATGCTCCGGAAAACCTCCATTAGCGACAACCTTGTCAGGGAGGGCAGGGAAAGTATGGAGTAAAATATGAATAAGATACAAAATCTGTCTCACTATAGTATCTAATGAAGGGGGCTGTGCCCCCTGTGACACCCCTCCTCTGGAGCTACTGCCCCCCAACCCCTGCAGTAGAAAACAAAGAATCCACCACATATTCATGGCTGGATAGGGCATATGACTGACGTGTGGGAGCACCAGAAGCTGAGTCTATCCAACACTCTATCATGTACTTACACAGTGGATTCTTTGTTGTCCAGACCAGTTTTCTCTATGTCATTTGTTATTTACCCTGTAATTTACATGTTACATTCCCTCCCATACTATTAGGCCCAAAATTTTGGGTATTGGGGGGGTTTCTGCTGCATAAGTTTGATTTGTTTGGATAGTAGAGAGTGAGGAAACCATCAATACCAAAATTGTTGTGATCTGTTATGCGAAGGTATACCGAAAAATTACCAAATGTATAAATAGCCCTAGAATTCAATACATAGACTGTGCATCACTAACACTACCACAGTTGATACTGATAGATGCAAATGATATATATGGATTATGATAGTTGTCATGGTAATTTTTCAGAATACCCTCTCATAACTTATTGTGACAATTTTGGTATCGATGGATTCCTCTCACTCTTTACTATCCAAATATGTTGAAATTATGCAGTGGAAACACCCCCTATTAGTGCCAATCTTAGCATCAATAATAGGGGAGAGCATGAAAGGTACCAGGGGAATTACTGGGTAATGAGTAATATACACAGAATCTGTCACTAATTTGTCTAATGGAGGGAGCTGTACCTCCTGTGACCCCCCTCCTATGAGGTTACCGCCCTAAACCACCACAATGGAAGACAAAGAAACTTCCATGTATTCATGGCAGAGTAGAGCATATGACTGATATGTGGGAGTGCTTATTGCAGGGGTTGAGGGATTGCAGGGGTTACAGCCTGTTGCATTCAGCAGTATAGTGAGGTATTATCTTCATTATATTATATTGTTAGTCTACTCTGCAATTTCCCTCGTACCTTTCATGCCCTCCCCTGCTATCCATGATGTGGGGGTTGGGGGGGGGGTTCCGTGGCATAATTCTCACATATATTTGTATTGGAGGGTGAGAGGAATCCAGTGATACCAAAATTGTCGCTATCGGTTAAGTGAAGGTATTGTGAAAAATTACCATTGTCATTGGAAACTGAATGTATCTACAATATTGGTGCTAGTGATGGGCAATACTGAACTTTTTTGGAATCAATTACTTTGATTACTTTGTGATCAGTAATTGATTATTTTTTTATTGCTTTCCCCTGGAAATAGATTATACAATGGTATATTAATAGATTATATGGTACACATTTGTGGTTTTAGTGTGTGTGTGTGTTTATGTTTGTGTTTGTGTTGAAACGGTTACTGTCACCCTTTCCCTCCATTCTTCCCCACTACCACCCAAACATCCAGGTGATAATTGGCATGTTAGAGCAAGGTGAGTAAATATGTGCCTGAAAATTTTTGTTCAATAGAAAAGAATCATAACTTAGAGTAAACAAAAATGTCATGGCAAGTTGTGTTATATTGAAGTATATTAAGACAGTCCTTGGTTCAACCCTGAGT